AGTGTACATTTTTTCTAGGGGCGAGTTGACTGCCAAAGGGTGTTGCCAAAGTGCAAGCCAGCGTGTTATTTGAACACAAGTGCGAGACATCGCAAGTGTGAGCCAGCGAGCCATGACGTCACGACAATAGATACAAGACGTTACTCGAGTTGTGCGAGGTATCGGCTGAGATTTGTGGAGTACAATTCAAAGAACAACTATAGGTCTAATAATGAATTATTGTGATGTTAAATAAACAATGTTAGCTATCAAGGAGCGATGTTGTTTTTCATTGGGACCTTCGTCCTTTCAAGGCTTATACCATCCTAGCTAGTCTAGGCCTAGAGTAGGATAAGGCTAGCGCGACATGCGAACGTTGGTACGTGTTGGTAGTCTACAAACGTCGCCTAAAGCAATTGACTTTACCCGGCAGAACGAAAGAAGGAAACTCCGCTTTTCAGTCGTCTTAGGCCCTTATTTTTTGACAAACAATGACCTTTCAGAGGTCAAATTGCTGTCAAGAATATGAATTGGCTGCTTCGCAGCAAAAACTAAGAAACGCTAACAAACTAATTTAATTTTTCCAAAATGAATGTGTCTATTTTGGAATATTGCTATACCTTGCAATTGTTAATAAACATTGCCCTACAGTACTCTAGGTTTTGATGTATGAATCTCATTTGTGATTACTGATTACATAGAAACCAGTCTGATCATAATAGCATTCAGGATTATGGTACAGTACAGTATTTTTCAAGATAACATTTCAATAAAATAATTACAATGATGTTAACAATAATGATATGAAATTCAATTGATAATGATGATGCGGAAGATGACGACAAACACACATCAATCTGAAGACATGAACAATTGACATATTATTTGACTATAAAAATACTATTTTTTAAATATCTTATAGCAAAAGATTGTGTCAATGGTGAGAATTAGTATCGTATTGTATGTACTGTAACTTACATGCATAGCATTTTAATGATGATTATGATGATGACGATGATAATGATGACGATGATAATGATGATGGTCATGAAACAATGGGATGTTGATGATAACGACATGACATAAAATATTAAAATGGAAATGAATGTAAATAATTTTGAATGCCACATAAAATGGAAACCAGTCACACTTCTAAGCGATTAGGATCTCTTTGAAGCTAGATACACAGAGATAATCATGTGACCTCTTTAAGATTACAATAATAATACAAGACACACATCTGCCATTCTTTCTTAACAGATTATTCTTGGCTCCATATCAAGGCAAACACTCTGCTACGGATATTAAAAAGACATTGCAGATCCAAACAATGCAAGAATAGTCCTCCCACGAGTTTTGCACAGCCATGTACAGTATACAATCCATATAGACAACGAGTGCATAGGGAAAAAGTCTATATTAGCCACTAGTTCACAGCCAATCACAGCATTGGAAAATTAAGGATGTTTGCATTTTCAACAGGCATGAAAATGTTTCAATGTGAAAACACTGAACTTTCACTTTAACAGTACATCTTATACACCTGTAACACATTCAGAGATTTGTTTTCATCCAACTTTCTGAAAAAAACTCCCAGCCCAACATTCACTCTGCATTTTAAATAAAGAATGAAATTGAATAAAAAAAAATGAAATAGAAATTTTACGAGACTGAATCACTTAATAAGGCACAAAATTTCTGTTAACTATTCTGTCTTGCATTATAATGATACTATAGTTCAAATGTTAAACAAGAGTATGCACAAACATTGTAAAGTGATAGCAATTCATTTTAGTAGGGACTCTGCCACCACCCTCATGTTGTAGTAGTCATTTTCATAAATACTGCAACAGCGTAATTATTCATTATTATTATCATTTAAAAAAAAATTAATTACATTAGAACAGGTGGATAGAATGAATTTCAAGTACATGTATATTACATTAAAAAGTATGATTCACTTAATGTACTTTTATTTATTTTTTTTTATATTTAATTTTTCTTTAACATCAAATAACTCGCATTTAAATATAACTTCATTTGTTTCTAATTCTGTGTAGTTCAAATAGTTTATTAATTAAAAAGATTTAGATTTAAAAAAAACATAAAATTACTATTAATTATTAATTTGTTGGTCAAGTGACAATACCTATAAATTATTCAGAAATTTAACTTGCAGTACACTAGTTAAAATAATCTAGGTTGTATTTTACTGTATATTATTGAAAATATACACTTGAAATTCTCATTAATTCATTATTTATTAGTCAGAATGTGTATTTAATTATTGTGCAGTAAACAACAGTGTTGTACATGATGATACAATCTTTATTGTTCAATTGTACTGAATTTTAAAATATATAAAGTTAACATAGTATAATACACACTCCAAGTATCGAAATGCACGCCATCGTGTCCGGATTCAATATTTCGACATTAATTATGTCATCATCAGGAATCTAATTCAACTTTTATTAAGATTTTTATAAAGATTTAATATGCTGCAATTAGCCTATAATTTGCTAATAATTAATATCCACATAAAATTACAATATAAATATGCATATATACTGTAGGACAAATTATTACTGACACACAACAATGTTAAATGTATGTTGCAGAATAAGGAATATTTCGGTTATAGAACATAGAGGGCATATTTAATATTTTAATGAATACTAAATGGCAAGTGAAAAAGTAATATCTTTCTAAATTTTCAAAGGTATACTTCATCAACCTTTTTATTAGCTAATTTAATTTAACTTGAGGCTACCTTAACTTTACAAATTTAATTCTTATTATTATGGAACCAAGGGTGCTTATATCTCTTTTTCCTCCATTTTTTAAATATTCAAAAATCTGTATCTCAAAACCATTCCCAAGTTGTTTTTTTTTTTATCAAAAACCCTTTTTGAGTCTTATAAAAATCAGTTTTACAACACATCAATTTCTTTTCTTTCCGTAGCCTGGCATTAAAGTTCTAAACATAAAAATATTTTAGAAGAAAAAAATATTTTCTAGTTCAATACTTACCATAAATGTACAAAATAAGCAGTTTTTAAACTTTATTATTCAATTCAATTCATTAACTCAATGTGGTGATTAAAGAGCTTTAAATTTTCTCTCTGAAAATTTCATACTCAGCCACAAAGGACTCAAGAAATCAGCCTTCCTGTGAGTATTGTCCAGGCATTCAATAATCTTCAGCTTTAGGTATTCTTAGTATTACAGAGACACGAAAGGAGACTTCTGAGAGGGATAAATCTTACGTGATTCTGATCAGTCTCACATCCCTTAGGAGATGACGAAACTACTTAAGTTCTCCCGCAGATATTTTTTACGCATTTTCATCTGTTGGGAATTTTATCCTCATTCATTTCAAGTACACAGCATCCAAGGTAACTATTATGTTCGAATGTCAGTTGACAAGATGATTATGAATTTTTAAACAAAATACTGATAGCTAATAAGAAAGTATAGATGTTTTAACAAAACAACAGTAATCTGAGATAATATTTTTATTTACACTAAAGTAAATTCACTTAATGTTTACTCTGAATTTTTTTTTCATTTCCTTTTATTAATTTTCAAATGTTACAATATTGTACCCTTATTAATACGCAATATTAGTCTATAGATTTATCTTCAAATATTGTCTTGCATATATTAAAGGGACCCAACTGATCAGCTCTGTCTTGATCGGCAACTTTATATATGATGAAATTAATAAATAAATATAAACTGACTAGTATTGTAATGGAACATTAGTGGAAGAGAGAAGAAGAAAGAAGTATCCCCTAGTCCCCGTAACACTGCCACTGGCCTAAACCTCAAAAAATCTACAGTACTGTGATATATTAAATGAGCCCATGTGACTTGACCTTTATCAGAACACATCAGTGGCGGATTATCCTCAAAGAAGGAGATGGATGGGTTTTGAATTGATGAGAGAAATAAAATGACTACGGTGACAAAATGCTACTTAAGTATAAATAAGAAAAGGCTAATAGTGGGTGGTTTCCTTTCAATTCCATGTTCTTGGTTTCGTATCTTCTAAAAGACCAGGATATTTCCCTTAATTAACAATTTCAACGGCCATTCCACCGTTCTTCACAGATATTACAGCATAACCAACAACATCGACCTCCCTACTTTCAAACAGTATACTTTTTCCAGAGTTGAGTTCGTTGACCTCGATGGTGCGCCACCAGTGGCAAACGTACTTCTTGAATTGTGAATTAAAAACATGAATTTTGCGTTTCTTCGCTGGAGCCATAATTTTACTTATTATTTTCGACTATTAATTAATAATTGTGTGATTATTTTCATGACAGCTCGATAAAATTAACTTTATGCAAAAAGTTAGCTGTAGGCCTGTTCTATGGGTCAAAGGGCATGTTGTTTACAGGGTTGTTTTTAGATATCAAATCACACTGCAGGCATGGTTATTTTTTAATAAACAAAGTGTATTGTGATTTGTGTTTTCAGCAGCTACCATAATTAATTGCAAATGCATTATAAACAGTGATGGTTGGGAGTGGAATAAACTTATTTGTGATTGTTTACAATTGGTTTTTAACAAGTTATGTTTTTATCTAGGCCTAGGCTAAGCTGATATTCAAAATTAAATAGCCTACTCAAATTTTCAAAAATTTACGGGAGAATTTTTTTCATGCGGTAGAAAAATGTAAGCTTACGGTAGCGCGGTAGATCGTCGCTAAAAGCGGTAGACTACCGCAAGTAGCGGTAGACTTGGGCCGCTGCGTTCTATATAAGTTACTAATATGTTATTTATACGTCCAATACGCTATGAATGCGCACAAAGTTTAACAAAAAAGAAACGATAGTTCAGCGTATGCCAGCGTTTTAGAGAAATGTTTATACGTTTGGCATACACTGACTAAATCGTCAAGGTGTGACAGGGCCATCAGGGACACCAGGCTATCCCACTCTACCTTTGTGCCTCCACCATCAGCCTTCCCCCTCCCCACTTCAATACTCTTTGACATGCCATTGCTTACCTTCCACCACCAGTGATGTTTGGTCATCACAAACTTGACCTCACGATAATGGCCATATTTATCAGGATGGTCGGCATTATTGCACTTCAACTGTTTAGCTCTGGAATAAAAAAAGCAATTATTATATTTTATGATGAATAAATTTTATATAACTTATTGATAACACAGATAAGAAAATCTCATGAATATGCATGATTAAATTATTATTGATTTGGAAAACATTTAGCATTATTTTAGAATATTTTCTTGGTATAGCCTGAATTAATACAGCATGTGAACACATGATATATAGGAGTTGACTGGAAGATACAGTAGAAAAAAAAAAAAAAAAAAAAAAAATTTGAGTAGCAGGTGAATCTAAATTTGAAAAAATTTGAGTAGCAGGTGAATCTAAATTTGAATTTGCAGAGATTGGTTGTGGTGTGAGACAAAGGTGCTTATTACGTGAAGACGATGAAAACAATGAAGATGACAAGAGGAGGAGGATCGGTAGTAAATATTGCTATAGAAGGAAAGAATGTTGAACAAGTTGGTTATCAGATATTTAGGTTCACTGATAACAAAAGAAGGTACTGTAGATGTGATGTGGAGATAAGAAGTAGAATTGGAATAGCGAAAGATGCTTTTGTTTTAGGCGAGACTTTCGTTATACCTTGTTTCGCGAACTTAATATTTTGTTGAAGAAGAGAAGGGCGGTAAAAAAAAAAATATTGTTTTCTTATTCATCAAATGATTTTGCCAAAAACATCCAGACAGAGTAGAAAATGAAAATAAACTTTTTTTGGTAAATGTAAACAATGTAGTAATGGGATGGTTAAATGCTTTAAATATATATAATTAGGAAGAAATACATCTTGTTTTTGGAAATTTCAAGGCAGCTGTGGGCTTAATAAAATTAAAGAAAAACTTTTATTTTTTTCTAAAATTTCCATTTTTTGTGGCGGCTGATGACGATAATTGTCAAAAAATAAAATGTTACATTTATTTGAAATCATCATTACTGGCGGGCAGCGGGTTCGATAAACATGGCATAAAAAAGTCTTGCCTTCTTAACAAGAGAAGAGAATTACTGAATAGAATGGACAGGAAATTGAAAAAAAAAGATTATTATTAAAGCACAAGTATGGAGTACAGTATAGCTCTCTATATGGGTCTGAAACCTAGGCTGCTGTGAAAAAACCTAGGCAGAAAAAAGGTGATGATGATGATATTTGCACATTGTATTGACTGTCTCTCTTCTTGTTGTTTTATGTATATTTCATGGAAATATGCAACTTTATAGGTAGTGCGTCCTCATGAATATTAGTAATAATAATACAGGTAAAGCATGCCTATTTAATATGCGAACATAACATTTGTAATTTACTATTCCTGTGGATGTTTCCAATATCCAAATATTTCCTACATTTTCCTCCCTTCAATTTTTTGTTTGTTGTCCAGAACACTATAACGCTTAAATTAAGATTTATTCAGCATAGTTTACAAATTTACTTTTTTTTAAAAAGTCCAATTGCGAAGTTAAACTGCAGATTAATACTTCATGATTTCACTTAACTAATCTAACCATACACAAGTGCAATGTCCGCTTTATACTGTAGGGAGAATTCCCTGTTCTGCCCGACAATCAGCATAGAATTATTAACATAGAACATTTGCATCATTTCAGATAGCCACTTAAAAAATAGAGAAACAAACATTAAGTGCCATGCCCAAGGACACATAAGCAAATGGCCAGCATGTTGAGAACCTGAATGCTACCTCTGCATCAACCAATTCAAAAAGGCCTAATGAGACAATGGCACTCACTCTTTGAAGACATGGAAACACGTTTGAACTACACAAACAATGTATGATACAATGGTAGTAACACTTTGAAGACACGGAAACACGTTTCAACTACACTTCAATGTAATGTAATACTCCTTTATTAATTCAATGAGTCTTAAATGTAAATCGAATGAGTTTTAAAATTTAAATTTTTAATCAATAATCATTTACGGTATATTCTCGCTTATAAGACGTTCCCCATATAAGACAACCCCAGAGTTTGAAAAACCCCTCCCCACCCCATTTCATTGTCATAATTCTGAAGATTTGCTGCTAATTTATGGTCTTGAAACTGCAACTACCTGGCTCTAAAAGGAGGAAATGCAGTGCTATTCTTCCAAATAATACCATGAAAAAATGCATTCATTCATACTGTATACACACAGTTAGTAGCTTCATTTAAGTAGCAAATTTGTGTTTTGGAGGATCTGTACAAAGAAACATGATTTAAAAATCAAAATGTGTGTGTTGCACATTATATGATGACCAACCACCCCCCACCCCCCTTGTTTTTAATTGTAATTTGCTATTTTAAGCCTCGACTTGTACAATAAGTGGGAATATACACTACTGTAGGTAAATATTGATACATGTGTGACTATGCAAAGTAAATTTATTATAAAGCTTTGCCTACAGTATTCTCCCAGCTGTGGCAGATGCTGATTTTGTATTACTATATTGGTATTTGAAAAATCACTTAAATGTATTGTTATTGTGTCGTTGCCCAAACTATTACAAAAAATAACCAAACCCTGATGGGGACCATGGTTCCTATTAATGTTACCTTTAATATTTGTATTATTTTAATAGATTATAATTTTTATAATTCTTCAAGCTGGAGGAGATCCAGCTACAATGGCACCTATTACCACACCTCCTGAGGGTTCTGCACCCCAAACAGTGGTGGTGCCATGTCACCCACCACGTCGTACAATGCCAATCCCTGATTGCTCTCATTTGGGCCATAGTGTACAAAGCCATAAAAACACTCCTAGTAAAGTTTTATTCCGAGACGCAGACAGAGACTATAGTCGGCCCCTTGGCTCCGACCATTCTTTCAAATGTCTTACCATTATTGGCATTGAGTTCCTATTTATGCCTATTAAAACATCATAAAAAAATAATTTTACAAAACCACGCTCGAGTCTAGAAAATATTGGACGAGGACTTGTCACGCTACAAAAGCAATATATGTGCAAATTCATTATTCAAATTATGTTAGGACAGTAAAGTGAAAGAAGCACCAAAAGCATATATTAACGTACCACTTCAGTGATTGCAGCTGATCGTGTATAATGTTCACTAAATAATGGAATAAAAATATTATAAACTGACCATGTTAATTACTAAAATAATTCAATATGTGACGAATAAGGAATGTCTGTACTATACATCCATCACATTTTAGCATGTATTGTATTATCAATGTTTTACCATATTCTTTACCAGTATGCCTATCTTACCTGCTTTAATATTATAAAAAACAATTATTATTGGTTCATGTTCTTTATTTACAAGGTAATTTGACTTTCATTTGCAAAGGTCTTTCTAAAATTATAGTTAAATAAGTAGCAGTATTCAATATCATGCTTTAGAATATTCTGTTACATGGCAATACTTGCAGCATTGAGTCGACTGGGCTTCACAGAATGATTATTTAAATGATGCACCTGGGCACATCCATGGGAACCATTACGTTAGAGTGCTTTTAAATTTTAGCTGGCAAAAAAATGTACAGATGTTTAAGCAAATAGCCGCTTTTTTTCTTTAGGGATGGGGGTCATTTATGAAAATAATTTTCAGGCTAATATTATTGTTGGCTTTATTACAGTAAGTCTCTCGAAAGATGGAGGGTGACAAGACAGAAGACGGTTCCCAAGGTTAATTAAACTATGTTAATTACTATACAGGATTTCCCTTCTTATCTGCATCTCTTCCTGCAAATATCTGGACTAACCCTAATGGGTCCAGATTTTGCTAGTGTTGTTAATTATAGAAACAGCGGATGATGCATGAATAGTAAATTATGTTTCATGTGTCATTAGAAGTTTACTGTAAAACAGTAATACTGTGTTCTAAAATAAACAATTAAGAGAAACAATGTCACCTATACTATGTTTCACCATAAACAATAAAGAGAAACAATGTCACTATTGAATATACAGTAGATGATTCTTCTACCTAATTACTCCATAGCTTGGGAATTCTGAGAGGAAATTAGCAATTATGAAGCAAATTATGTGAAGGTCCAGTGTAATTCAACCACTGTACTGTAGTTCTCTCCAAACCCCCTTGGAACAACAAATTGGGCCGATTTTGGAGGGTGGACTTTAAGTACCTGGAGAATCCCCCTTACAATCATAATGCAAATTTTCATTAGTACATTAGTACATTCCTAATTTAAAGCCAATACAGTATTTGATATTATTTTAGAGTATTTGTAAAAGTAAGCTAAGACCCTCATTCAAATTATATTCTGGGCTTTTGAACAGCTGGTAAACTGGGCATAAAGTAAGGTGGTGAACTTTAACCCAAGGTAGGCTTATACCTGAGGAACTATGGTACTAAAAAACTAAAAAAAAAACAATACACATTTTGGTCACTATTGATACATCCTTGTCCAGACTATAAAATTTTGACAAAAAACAATGTAGCAAAGACAAGCCAAACCAGTCACTCGTCGCAAAAATCAATTTTGAGTTATTAATACATGGTTAAATATTTGAGAAGTTTTCAAAGTTTACGATTTTGGGAATTTCTCAGGCAGAAACCATCACAAAATTAATAAAATTGTTGTCTTTATTGAAAATTGGGAAAATAACAGCACAGCATATGATATATAAAATTTACTGTAGTATAATAAAATAGACGAAAAATTTTGACATTCTTAGCTAGTCTTTGCCACAAATATGGTCATGAACATCACATCATGAACATATATAGGCACATCATGACTATATATGGGCATACAACAATTTTATGTCAAAAAAATTATAATCTGAACAGAGCTTTATACACACACAAAAATTGCATTATGAAGCTTGTAAGCATAAATCGTAAATTACATTTCACATTTTCATTACAGTGTACAGTATTGTATATACATAAACAAATATAGGAGAAACAGTTTCTCCTTTATTCCACAGAAGATCATTCTTCTTCCTAATTACTCGATAGCTTCAAAATTCTTCTGGGATGAAATTAGCAATTAAGAAGCAATAAAATCCTGAGAATGTATTTACAATTAATAATGAATTGTGTAAATCATTTTAGCTGTCAGTTTTAAGATCATGATTCAGAATATGTCAAGTTTAAAGTATATAGCAGTAATTAAAGGGATGTTACTAGACAGCATTGCCAGGGGGAGGAAGCTGGGATAAGTGCACAATAGGGGTCCAGGACACGAAAGTGAAAAAAAGAAAGTCAAATACACTAGTATGAAAAAAATACACAAAATACAAATATTTCAAAGGAGAGAGACCGCAATGTTTTATATTCTCACCTATTTTATACATACAAAATACTTAATGTATTCATTTTAAATGTTGATTTTGTATTGAAGAGCCCTAGTACAGCAGTAGTAGTAGTATTATGATATAAAAACAACTTAATTTAACTAACAATAATTGATGAGTACTTTATTGTAGTGTGAATTAAACTGAATTTATTATCTGTAGGTGGTTTTAGATGTCTAGCCAGTTTAATTTTCTGGTAACTGCTGAGCTATATATAAGTGCCACGGTACATGAAAATTGTAGGCCTGCTGTTTAGTAGAGAGCCTAAATACGTAGCTCTTGAGCATAAAAGCATTGTGCAACACAAAAGCTCCTACAGAGCTGTAGGAAATGATGTGGTTATAGGTATTGATAGGAAGCCCTTTGTATGGCAAAAGCAATGATACACAATGGGAAACACTGGGACGAAATGGGAAGCAGTGGGATACTCCCAGGTATTCACTGGAATACACTGATGGAATGAAACAGGATCAACCAAGGAAGTTTTTGAATATGTACTGATAAGAAACCAGAGTGAGATTTCTGTTATTGATGGAACAGCTTATAATAAAGTACATTTCTTTAGATATCTTTACAGATATTATTCAAGATTTAATATTAAATAGAAGTAACTGTAATATTATCCAAGAACGTTAGAAAAAAAAAAAAATTATTTACAATATTTAGGAGCGCTATATAAAAAAAAAAAAATATCTGAAAACATTTGATAAAAAATAAATTTCACTAGACCAGTGCCAGGGCTGTACATTATATTGTTAATTAAATGTTTAAAATTAAACCTGCTTTTCTCGATGTGGACTGTGATGTACTATGTAGATTTTTTTTGTACATCTATTTTGTGAAGTTTTTTTTACAGTAAGTACACATAGGAATAGGACATCAGCTTTTAAATGGTACTCATTTTACACTTTCTCAACATATTAAAAATAATTAGGAGCTTAAAATGTAATTCAATAAATGATCACAAGTACAATATGGATCATTATGTAATGTCCCAATAAGCTTTTTTTTTTTTAAATTAATATTTTAAATGGTTTTATTTGTTATTTATATTATAATTTGTAAATAATAAGAACTTTGGGATTTGGTATTTGGATATAATAATGGTATGAGATCAAATGACAAACATGCTAAACACTAAAAAAAAAAAAAAAAACACCTACACACAAAAGCAGATGAATTATTTTAATTAAAGGCCAGAAAGGTATTCTAACATACTGTGTCATTTAATTTTGTCCTGAAATGCAAAAAATTGGGATTATCTTGTAGCCATTCACTGTACATGGCCACACTTTGATAAGCCAAGTTTGCCTTTAAGCAACTGCTGCAATAAATATACTTTAATGCACTTTGCTACTTAAAATGGATCAATTCAATTGAACTTATTACTAAAATTTGATTACTAAAGTAACTCACGCATGCATACAAATTAAATTCAGAAAACTACTGTCTGATTAGTATCATACTAACAATTAAATGACTGGCACTGCTAAATGCAATTTGGTTGCTGTTTTACGAAACAAAAAAATTATTAAATCAATCAATGAAGAATTTAGAATGTCGGCTTCAATATGCCGCATCCTACGTACAAGCATGCTTAGCACTCAAGTTGTATTGTTATGTAGAACACAGTATTTTGTTAGATGTCTATATGTTTGTATAACCTGTTCAACATACAGTAGGCTAAAATTCATCCACGTCATGAGTATAGCTTTCATTGTGGACATAAAACCCATCACTGTGTTACATTTAGTAAACTAGAAGAATTCTCTATCCCAGGATAAGAAAAAAAATTTGTTCCTTCCTTCCACTACCATATGCAACAGTACAACGACAGCTGGACTAGGTAAAGTGAAGCTGCAGCTCCCAAGAACACTTTTTTTTAAATTCCCTTTTCAACCAGTTAGGCTTTGTGCATTTTTTTTTACCATTATACTTACAATTTTAGAACACAGTTTAATATGAGTTCTACAATAAAGATACAAAAATCCAATTTTCGCTTTTAAAAAAAGTAGCCACCCATGCTATTTTAAATGACTTCTAATGATTAAAATAATGTAACCTGTGTCTATATGTATTAAAAGCTACTGTACAATATTAGTTTAATTTTTAAACAAGCTACAGCACTGAAACATACAACATTTTAATGCACTTCATTTGATTATTATCTTTGCTAAGGTGGTTGCATTACCCATGTCTGTCTGTCTGTCTGTCGGTCTGTCTGTCTGTTAGCAAGACTATGGAAAAACTAATCAATGGATCATCACAAAATTTAGTGGACTGGTACATATTATATTCGAAGAAAGAGATGAATAAACTTTGGGAAAAAAGGTGAAAGGACAAGGTCCGGATATTCAATTTTTTACCCTGATCATAAAAGAAAATAATGGAATCACCCATCATACTGTACACAGCCTGCGTATTGCACGGTATTCAGGCACAGAGCAGGAAATAACGGAATCGCCCATCAAACACGGCCTGCTTATTGTTTGGCCTGTATTCAGGCGCAGGGTGGAGGTATGCACTATATGGAGTGACTGCTTTATTTAATTTATAACTGTTAATAGTAAAAAAAGGTTCATACTGTAGTTTCCAATGCATCTGATTACCGTAGATGGCAAATTGCCAATATGGTGGTCTTTCATGTGATTTTTTTTAGGTACCCCTGAACACAAAGAGTGCATGCAGGAATATAAATAAACAGGTTCCTTAAAAGAACATACAGACAGCAGTCTAAATGTACCCTTTCATCAAAACCTGATTGACATTATTATTGGTACAATTAAAATTCATGGTAGACATTTCATAACATGGTAATAAATCATGTAAATGTCACATTAGAATTGCACCTAAGACATCGCAAGTTACTAGCCATGGTATCTTACGTTCAACTAAGTCACATACTTAAAAACAAATGCAGCGACCTGACCACCAAACTCAACACAATCGTTGGAAGCATCTTTCTCTACAACTCAGCGTTGTGGACACTGAAAGCAGAACCGACTCCTTAAAGACGTCTGCTACGAGGGGTACTAAATATTAGGTGGCCCCAGAGAATGCCCAACGAAAAGGTTTACCAAAAATCACATGCAACACCATGGAATCTTGCCATCAAACAAAGACGGGTGAGGTGGCTCTGTCATTTGTTGCAATTGCCAACCAAAGTTCCAATCCAGAAAGCCCTTTCAAAAGCCATAAAGAGGACAAAAATATACATGAATCCCAACAATCAATAAGCAAATTAGGCCCATAAACAAACAGGTGAACCCAGAAAGTATTGAAGATCTGCTATCCCTGGCAAATAATTGATCTACTTGAAATAGTATTTGCAGAAACGCTATGCTGTAAAGGCGAAAGCGGATTGATAAATAATTGATGAAGATTGATGAAGACTTAAAGAGTTCAAACAGTTCATTGTTACTTTCTTATATTCTGAACAAACCTCCCAAGTACATATATTGTTTGGCCAAACAAATTGATATGGACACAGAAATTCTTTCATAGTCAATACAATCTATGAATTCAGTGATAGGTTTTTTCACATAATAACTACTGTAAGTTGTACCGGTACATTAATAACATAATATTACTGTATCCATTTGATGGTTTTTGATGTTTTAAATGTTTAATACTAATAGGCCCCACTTTTGGCCCACCTCACGGGGCCCCCCCCCCCTTTTTGGACATCTCTGTGTCCAAAAGGGGGGGCCGAAAGGGGGGGGCCGAAATTTGGGCCGATCGAGACAACAATGTCGTAGGGGGTCCGGGTCCGCGAAATTTTTGTGTTCTAGACGCCCGAAAATAACATTTGAGGCGTTGTGGGCTATCATTTTTTTCTTTTTCTTTCTTTTTTCCCTTTTTCCCCTTTTTTTTTACCTTCCAAAAGGGGGGCCGGGGCCGGGCCGGCCCCCCCTAAATCCGCCCCTGGAGTATGTGTTCCATATGTGTTTGATCCAATGACCGGGGTTGTAATGTGAAGCGCATAGAGGCATTGTGCATGAAGCGCTATATAAGAGCGACATATTATTAATTAAATACCGTAAAAATAAAAAGTTACACTAAGTTCAGGAAGAAGCTCATGATGATGATGTAACCTAAAATCACAAGATTACGAAATACAGTATTATTAGTTATTATGAAATAACAGTACGAGTTAAATGGCCAATCGCAACCAGATCCATAATATTTGCACTGGTTTGAATGGCACAGTTCTAGAATTTCTATTTCTCGGATAATGACTAACCATAGGCCCAGAGTACATAATTGGCTCAAGTGCACTATAATATAAATAACCCAGTACATCTTTTGAGACAAGAAGGGAGTTACCCTGGTGTACTGGTCCATACAGCCCTTGTTGTGGACAGATGAAAGTAGCTGCACAGTCCTTAAGCTGGATTTCCACTAGGCGAATTTATTTACGCGAATCAAAGCCTCGGTCGCTTCCTGAGCTCTGATTGGTTGCACATTTTTTCGCTACGCAAAAAATCCGATAGAAATGTGAATGCACATGCGCATGTACTGACGCTTTTGATTGGAAAGCACCCTTTAAGGGGAGAAGAAAGTTACTGTATGAACTAGTCCACTCTTCAAGTGCTTTGAGATGTGAAAAATATTAAAAGAGACACGTAAAGAGAATCATTGGCCATTGATGGAGACATTCAAATCGAAAATGGCTGCTTGTTTATTGCATCATGAAGCGAGTAGGTGACAAATACATTGATAAAATCAATCAAACTTGTGCATAAATTGGAATATTTTTTTGCTGGGGGGGGGGGGAGCCTGTAAAATCAGTGAAATCTGGTAAAAATTACATTTGATCGGGACAACTAGAGATTTGTTTAAATATCGGGTGACACCCGACAGGATCGGGTGAGTTGGCAGGTCTTCTATGAAGTAAAAAGCAAATGGTACATATTGTGATCGCAAAGAACACTGGATGTGAATTTCGCATAATTTTAGTGCTGCCAAAATTAAAGTGTTATAGTACAAAAACTCAGCTCCTAAAAACCTGTTAGCACACTGTAAAATTGACAGCTGTTCAGTAACTGACAACAATACAACAATTTATATATATTATGAATTACAGTAGGACTATTAAAAATATTCAGGCAAAATGGTAGCAGACACAGTAGTAGCATACTGTAACATTGCATAAAATCAGTTTTCATATTTGCATGTCATGCTCACATTCTACAGTAACTTTGTCATGGTAAAATATTGGTCATCTCCATGGCAGAAGGGGTGCAAAACTGGGTGGTTTTGGATGACACGCCAGACAGTTTGAAAGACAGTTGGAAAAAAGCAAAAAAGCAAAAAAGAAATATAAAAAATATGTCATCAAATAGAAGATAGGAAAAATGTAAATTTTGGTATTGTTGAAAGGAATGGTTTTGAGGATAGCTGTGAAACGTTGCAAAAGATTAATGTAAGAAATGCTGGGATACTAAAGCATCAAGTTGGTGACAAGAAACTAACGGGAATGAGGAATGTGACGGAGACACAGGAAAAAGTGAGGATGAGACATAGGGAAATGTGGGGGTGAGAAATAAGGAAAAATGAGGGTGAAGAATAGATTAACATTTGGGTGGAGATAATGAAAGGAAAGATAAAAGGAGAAAGGGGATAGGTACGGTATGGCCCTATCTAATTATTTACCAAAATTACAATTCCAAAAGTAAAATTTTCAATATGCGAAACGTCAGAACGTGTTTGGAATCTATGAACCTCAACCATTTGCATTTTTCTTGATAGATGTTTAATGGAACATAGATTATCACAACAAACAAAATTTGAATTTTGGCAACAAGCAATATATCTTCTAGTAAAGGAATGACAAGTCTATACTACACAGCCATTAACTCATTTAAGGTTCATTACAGTACTTAAGACATTACATTGATATGCTCTACGCCACTTTGCTAGGACAATATGTTGCTTAAGGCTGACGTTCATTTAACTCAAAAAAGACCACAGATGGGAATATGTCAAGTAATTATTTGTTCAGTATAGAAAAATGAAAGATGGTGTTATTTCAGAAGAAACCACTTAAGCAATGAATGTGCTTGCAGACTTCTTCTTTTGTTACATTCCCTCCTTCAATTAAATGACAAATTTCCCACTCTAGGCACAGGCAGCAGACATCATGAGCACAAGCAGCTTTTATTTATTTATTTAATTTTTTTTATAGTAAATAAAACATTACTTTTTTTTGGTTTTCAAAGAAATGGTATTATTTAATTAATTTTAATTAAGGCTAGGCATCTTTAAGAGCTAAAAGACTAGTAAGGTCTACACACAACTCTGAATCTAGGGGCTAAATCTCTGGCCACGGAGAGAGACTGCATAACTTTTGAGCATTGTATGCGGTTCTGTGATGATTTAGAACATAATTAATTTCCCCAATGTTTTTTTTTTTGCTCTAAAGTTGTGGCTGCTGGTATATTTGCCTGTTCGATTGGTGATGGTCTTTAGCCTCCACTCCCTGCTGCTCGTGACATTACTGTAATATTTTACAGGCCATTGGTAATAGTAAAAAGCATACATAATGATCAGCCTACTCCATTCCTATTAATGCATGTACATTCAACATAAGACCAGTAATATTCAAAATCTGCCAACTACGCATTAACTACCCTTCTTAAGGACACAAGCGAATGGCCAGTAGAAATGTTAACACTGTACCATATGGATGCGAACTGCTTCACACCAACCACTCTCCAAAATGAGAAAGAAAGAAATTGGAAACACAAAATCGACATGGATTTGATGATCTGTATTCATATCTATTATCAATCCATGTGTAGTTAAAATTGCGCTTGTTTCAAAACTAATTAAATAGCTGTAACAATTTGTTACAGCCAATTTTTCATATTTTAGCATAATGTCAATAACTATTATAATACAGTAGATGAACTAAATATAAACCACTACTGCATTATAAAGAGATCTACGACACTCAGCTTCACATATGTACAGTTACCGTACTCGTGCGAATAGGCGCCCGGGCACTTAAAATATTTTTGGCACTTTCTGAGGGGCATTATTCAAACGGGGTGCTTATGAAAACAGAGTGGAAATTGAGGGGGCACTTATGGAAATAGATGAAAATCGAGGGTTCTTATGGGAAATTATTAAATTCAAGAGGTACTTTTTGAATGAAAAAATATTAGCCTATATAAGGACATTACGAATAGTTGTTAGAAAACGAGGTGTCTAAGGAAATTTTCACGTTTTTAAACGGGGCGATTATTCGTGTGAGAACGGTATAATATTGTTTGTATTGCATTTTTTAAATTGTAATGTACATAGGCCATATGAATGCAAGACCAGCAGCTTCAACGTTTCTGGTAATACTGTAGACAGTGCGCTATTTCAACTTGTAATGACCTATTTCGGTCCTCCATCTGAAACACAAGAATAGCATAACCAGGGAACAAAGATCTGAAAGAATTTCCACAGTCCCGTGCACTAACTGAGCAAACCATAATCATGTCATCCACTTTCATATCAAATAACAAAATCAAAAATTGCCTGGTCTATCAAATGTTAATGCTGTTGCTGACTCATCACGATCGATATACACTTCAGGAGTTATTCTTCTTCATTAACAGTTTAAAAAATGTCCAATGTTAATCAATCATTTTAATAAATAATTATGTAACTTTTAATAATAATATTACTGCACTCAAATGTTATGGCTAGACATTGGCTCGAGCAGGTCAACAGTACAGTAGGCCTATTCCCAGGGCCTAAATTGATTTTTTCCAGGCCTACATTGAAATTACTGGCAACACTGTACTTAAAACATACCAACATATTGTACATAAACCTGCATCAATTTTATAGCACCCACCATAGTGATTTGTTGCTGATGCATAATTTTTAAACTATTGAGGGCTGATATTATGGCTATTTTTGTGGAGAAAAAAAAAAGGGGGTGATTATTCTTTTCGTCAAGGAAATAAATCTAACAAAATCATTTTGTTTTTTTGTTATTTGGAATTGAATACAAAATTAACTATAAAAAATATGAATATGATTCAGTGTTGAAAGCTTGGTGACATGACAATTCCTGTCATGGTTAACAGGATTTTTTCAAATGAGCAAAGCAAATCCATTCCCTAAACCTGATAATAAGACGTACCCTATTCAGACTAGCATCGCATGGCGATCGGTTGTAGAAATTACGACACCCAACCACACCCAATCGCAATTCACAATCCTGTGTGAAAGCTTATCAATAGTAATCGATAATGCAAGTTACCCGTTGCAATTGAGTGCTACACTTTTTATTACTCCTGATTACCATGGAATCCGATCGCAACGAATCACATCAAATTGCACAGGCATTGACTGGCTGAGGTCAGTCAACACACAGACACAGGAGGCCTTCTTATAGTACCGTTTGAACTCCTGTTCCAATAGAGCACAACAGTCGTGTCATCACGACGCCAGGTGGTGCTCTCTGATGTCAACAGACGTTGGTTACTGTTCATTTTAAAATCTAATATTTTACCATCAAAATGTACTAAAAACACAAAATCTAGCATTATATTAGTTATCGAACACACATTTAATCAATTAAAATTTACAAAGAAAAAGTAAAATACAACATCTTATTAAATAATTACATTAGAAATTGGGATCAATGGTTTGTCAGTGGAGAAAATGGCGTCTGGTTGAATGCTTTTTGCAAAGATAGCAACAGAGTAGTATCACGTGGTATCCTGACATAACACTGTAGTACTTATAAAGTGATTCGGTTTGAATGTGATTGTTGATCGTGATCGGGAGTAATCAGATTTGATTACCACTGATTACATTGCAACCAATCCAAACGGAGTGTAGTCTGAATAGGGTATTATTATGACTTAGTTTATGTAGACCTTCTTGTGTTTATGTTTCTCTTGTGAAGGGGTATGCCACTTTGAATAGTGATTAAGTTCACTGCCTGGCATATCTTTGGTTTTCTGCCTAAACCAATTAATAAAATAAAAAAATAATTATGCAGCTGGAATGATTTTCCATGATAAATGTTACAAGTTATATAAATGTTTTTATAATTTCTTAAAATTACTTATCAGAGTTCCTGATCAATCTAGACTAAATAATATGTCAAAAACAGTTTTCTTATTTAAAACAGAACTTTGAAATATATAAAATTAATAATTTTAATTTCTCCAGAAATCAAAAACAGCTTTCTAATTCAAAACAATCTTGAAAAAAATTAATTTTAATATGGTGTAAAACATTCAACGTGAATTACCTACAGCACCAACATAATGAAGCTTCATTGATTAGTAACATACAATAGTTAAGTGGATTGATTTTTGAATTACTGTATACCTAATCACTTCCTTCAGGATATGGTGCCAACCAAAACAGATAAATACATCGCATGCTCAAATGCTTTGCCTGCTGGATAACTATCATTTTACAGGATGAACTTGGCCATTTCATTACAACAAATTTCAGTAGTATTATTTTTTGCAATAATTATTACTACAATAATAAAAATTAATAAAAAAGATTGCTTAAACTTACCAACATTTGTTATGACATTAACATATGTGGCAAAGACTAGCCAAACCAGCCACAAAAATTGATTTTTAGTCATAAATACAGGGTTAAACAGTAAAAAGAGATCATTTAAACCCGACATTTCTTTATGAAGTTACAAAAGTTTAAACATACAGCTTTTTAAAGAACAATAATTGAGAAATCAGCCTTCAAAGTTTATGATTTTGAGCATTTCTCAGGCAGAAACCATCACCAAATCGTTCAAAATTGTTTTTTTAACATGAAAAATGGGGAAAATAATAGCATACAGTACCATAATATATAAAGGTTAAAAAATTTTGACATTCGAGCACGTTTTAGCTATTACTGTATCTTAGGATTTGTGATGAGTAACAGGTCTGGCTTGTCTTTGCCACATAGGCCTATATACAATTTTTTAAAAGAATTTAGTGAATTTTGAAGGAAGGTTCAGTTGATGATGATGCAAAATAAAAATATTGTTTAGTGTCATCAGCCCTACCTGAATTTTTGACCCAAAATAAAACATTTAGGCAAGACTTTTTAATTTAAAAAAAGGGAATATTGTTCAAGAAATGCTAATTAAAATCAATATGTGTATATGAATTAAAACAATGATCTCACCAACCAGGTGTAATATTTATTGTAGGCATATTAAAATGATTAATTTTAACAATTTTTTGTTTTCAGAATGAAACTGATATTAACTTAATTTTAGGAACAATTTCTTTGCTTTTTTATTCATTTTGTTCATGATGTTGGAAAGTACAAATAGAGGATCATGTTCAGTGGGTATTATGATAGTTTGTAGCTTATGCAATCCTAGTTGTGCCTATGCATGGCACTGCTCTTGTTGCATCTCATTGTGGATTACTGACACTGTAGATTGATTGAAAAAAAAAAACTGCCCCTCTCACCTAAAATTTTGTTGAGATGTGACGCAAACAAGTAATATTGTTTATTTGTGCAAGACATTAATACAGAAATACTGTACTACCAGCACACTGTACTTTAAGATTGAGTACCTGCCATACGCAATCGTTTATATCAGGTTGCTATTTACACATTAAACATGGCTAAGGCTAAACCGGGCTTAGAAAAAGATTATCTTGTTTACATGCTGGTTTTTCTGGCAAAGGCTTAAGTTTTAATTCCAACGTTTCCCTGGCTTAAAAAGACCCAAGGACAACATTAACTTTCTGTATCTTGATTAATTTTTGGGACTTTTTCATTAAATTTTAAGTTTATCTTTCTGTTAACTGTAAAGCTGAAGCTATTTTGCATGAACTATATCAAGTTATTATTATTCATTCTTTAAACGATATAATTTTATTGAATACAATAATTCAAATTATATTTAGTGGCTTGCTTGCTTGTCGAGTCCATGTATTTCAAATTTTGCCCAGCCATAGCTAGACATACTCCTTTGACTTTTGTTGTATTTTGCGAGGTCTGGTGCAGGATTCATCTAGCATACTGTACAGCACTGAAGAATGTGTTGCATGGTCTGAGGCTCAGTTCCACATTCACAAATGACAGGGTTGTCCCCACTTCTGTAAACATGTTTCTTTATACTGTAGTAGAAGGCATCTTAACCATCAAATTAATGTTACCACTTTATGATGTAATACAATAATATAGTATAATAGTTTCCATGGTAATCATAAGGGTTGTTACAACATAAAGGAAAATTAATATTGGCAATTTTTTTTTTCTTCACTACACCTTGTTTTAATTTTTAGTGCACATTTTTGTAATACACTAAACCACTATCAGTATCAAATCCCACCACATGACAGTAAATTATATGCCATTCAAATATAGCTCTCACTAGCACAAGCCAAGGTCTGCAATTTAGAGCACAGAAATATCAATCTGCATTTTTTTGCTAGGACGATGGACACAATATTGAATGAGTAAAGAATATGAAGGAAACCCAAAATACGCCCTTAAAATATCAAGATCATAGTGAATGAGGATGGTTGGGGCTGAATAACATGAAAGGTAGCATGCATAAAATTGTACCACTTTTCTGTAATCAATTGAGTCAATACAAAGAACATCATGATTGAAAGCAAGGGAAAAAGACAGTAAATCTCTAAAACAGTACAAAATAGTAAATTAAACACAATTAACATAATACATTATTTTATTCTTCATCAGGTACTACAAAAATTGTGAATAAGCCATCTGAAAGGTACAAATTTGAAAATCAATACAGACAGTACTGTATTATCACATAACAATATAACAAATTCATGTACCATGGTCTTCAAGAGGTAATAAAATTTAGAAAGCTTAAGTGAGCCAAAACATTCGTTGAAACAAATTTGCATATTAAAGGCAGACGGTATTAAACTTTTATTGATGCATGTTTTCTTCTTCGAGTACAGTACTGCACATAACAAGTGAGAATGTTCCAAAGCAAACAAAGAGGTATGGTAAAAAGCACAGGCGTAGAGTAGCACTTTAATACGTCATTTCGATGATACATGTTTACGTTCATCAGGTACTGTACGATGCACATGAGGATAGTCAACCATTAAATTCTTAACAATAGAGGGAGGAGACTTAAAATACCTTTATGCTAGCTATCATAAAACCAAGTCAATGCAAGATGATGGTACATTACTATGGAGTAGACTAAATGCATAAAGGAATTACTTTTTTAGAGGGGTTTTCTTTTATTGCTCAATCACTGTTGTAGTTTTCACATACCACAAAAGGAAATAAATTCTATGATGAAGAGCTGTTTACAGTATGCATTGTGCCTAAATTTCAGTAAATGAATTATCTCTAATAATAGAGTAAATATTATGGCACTCCCTTAATAGCGAAAATACAAACAGAGTATCAAATCAAATTT